TGCTACGATATGAAAATGAGCCAGGAATAGGTATAGGATAGCAAGCAAAAGATGTTGATGACTGATATATAGATTAAACCGATAGTTTCAGGTCATTTGAAGATCGATATAACCCATGCTGTCCATGAATGAACCATGAGAAATCAAAAAGCATATTTTCATCTCGAATATTAAATTTATAGTAGTAACAAATATATGAAATTTTAGAGAAATAAAAATGTAAAATATAAAGGTAGCAATTTTTTTTTACTTGGACTGACATTGAACTAATTAGGACGTAAATTTAAAATTTTTAGCACTAAACAACACAGAGAGCAGTCTGCTGTAGCTTACTTTACATGCAGTCATATTAGCGGGTAAAAAAAATCCCCGTCGACAAATTTACATAAATTTATTGGACACTAAATAAGAATTTAATTCATTTCGTTTCATCCCACACGTTAGATATGCTTGAATAGCAAATATATATTTCTTTAACAAGGAAAATTCATAGAATATTTGAAATATAAGATGAAGAATGGCTTACCCGTAGATAGAAGATGAATAATCTTGATGAGGCGATTCAAAATGGATGTTGACTTGAGCAAGGTTCTTTACGAGTCAAGTAAACACGTGACTGTAGACTACTGGTCGAGCCAGTCTCTCTCAATCTTCTAATAATATTATTTTCACAAATTGAAATTCTATTTTGAGTTCATTTAGTCACACTGTTGAAATACCAAGTACGCCGCGCCAAACCACCGGTGGTCCTCACTAGCGATATAAGCATATATCACTAAATTCATCCTAGCTAAAAAAATCTTGAAATTTTTGGACATTTCATTGCTCATAAAAAAGGAAATTGCCGAAATGTAGAATTTGTCATCCATCGGTTTTAGATTGTCGTTAAACGTTTTAGCGTCGGAGGGGTTTTACCATTATTCTTTCTCGTTCATCCTAAATGTATCATAATCGTTTGTCTTTGAAGTACTTGCTTGCTTCGTTTCTTGAATGCTATGTTGAAACTAAAATCGTATAAAAAATGAATCACTGCAGCAAAACTGTTAACGTTTAGAGGTTTTCTCGCCGTATTTTTTTTCTGAATCAAAATATCAAAATAACTAAGAGTAAGTGATTTTACTTAACAGGCCGTGAAATAAAAAATGTTTTTACTGATGAGTGATAAGTCAACAAGAGAACACGAAAGATTTGTCCCTCGCGGTCTCTCAAAAGCCTGGAAGTCGTAGCAATAGTAGAGTGCATACCATATATCAGTGAAAAAGTTAACAAAATTGTACAAATTAGTGCAAAGTTTTGTAGGTCTACGGTCTACTGAACTTAGACTTAATAGAAATCTTAGAGTGCATACCATATATCTGTGTAAAAGTGAACTAACAAA